AGAGGATGGGAGAGAGAGGGGAAGAAAGAGAGGAAGGAGGTGGAGGTTAAGAGGGAGTGGAGGGTGAGTACAGGAAAAGGAAGAGGAAATGGGGAGATAAAGAAGGGAAAGTGAGGGGAAACGAGGGGAGAGGAACAGAGAGGGAGAAGATAAGGAAAGGGAAGCAGAAGGAAGAAGTAATACTGGATAAGCAAAAAATGAATGAGATACGGAAAGGCCGGAACAGGCGAGAAAGAAATAGCAAAAAGAAAGAGATAAGGCAGAAAAAGCGAAGCGACACGCAGAGAAATCGGGAGAAAAGAAGAAACACGAGATAAGAGGAGACGCTACGTAACGTAAAGAAAAAGAAAAAGAAATGATAATAGTAAGAAGAAGAAGAAGGTCAAGAACCAATGTCTGCAAAAAAATGCAAATGATAAAAGGGAAAAAAAATGAAGATCAAGAACCAGCTTTCGTTTGGCTTCGGGGCCGCCGCGTCTCCATTGTGCAGTAACCGGTAACGCGCGGAGAAAGTCCTCTCAGACGGACCGGGAGGCGCCTCGGTACTCCGGCCATGGGGGGGGGGGGTGGATGCGAGACAGAGGGGGAGAGGGGATCAGGGGGGAGAGAGAGAAAGGGAGGGAAAGGGTGAAGCAAGAGGGAGAGAAGGAAGAGGAAGGAGAGGAGAGAGAGAGAAGGAAGAGGAGGGAGAGGAGAGAGAGAGAAGGAAGAGGAGGGAGAGGAGAGGGAGAGAAGGAAGAGGAGGGAGAGGAGAGGGAGAGAAGGAAGAGAAAGGAGAGGAAAGATGAGGAAGAGGAGGAGGGAAAGGGAGTGACGAGAAAGGGGAAAGGGAGGAGATGGATGGGAGACAGAAAGGGAGAGGGGATCAAGGAAGAGAGGGAGAGGGAGAGGGAGCGAAAGAAGGAGGAAGCAAGAGGGAAGGAAAGGAATAAGAAGGTAGAGGAGAAGGAGAGGAAGGATGAGGAGGGGCGGGGAAGGGGAGGGGGAGGGGGAGGGGTGGATGGGAGAGAGGGAATAGGAAGGTAAAGGAGAGGGGGGAGGGAGAAAAGGGGGAGTTGGAGTGAATCTGGGAGAAAGGGCGGGGTTAGATGATAGAAAATGAAGAAGAGGAATGGGAGAGTGAAAGGCAGGGTAAGGAAATTTATATTGGTATTGTTATTGCTGTCAGTAAAAGTAATGATGGTGATAGTAATTGCAATTATTACTGATGTTGTTGTTATTATTGTTATTATTATTATTATTATTATTATTATTATTATTATTATTTATTATTGTTGTTATTGTTGCTGTTGTTGTGGTTGTTTTGCTGTTAATATTATTATGATGATGAATATGATTATTATTATTATTATTATTATTATTATTATTACTATTACTATTATTATTTTGTTTTACCATTATCATCATTATTATTGTTGTTGTTATTTAAATTTCGTTATCAAAATCAGCATCATTGTTGTAATTATTATTGTTATTTTTTATTATTGCTTTACTTATATCATCAGTGCCATTCGTAGCTGCCACTTCACTGATTCAAAAGAACCAAGGAAAGCGTCCAATCAAAGTCTGATTCAGAACTTGATGACTTAGAACTTCACAGAGTGTAAATGTAATTACGTGACGTTAACCGAACCAGAATGATTTTCTGTTCGTATAAAAAAAGAGGTTCTGTTGCATCAGCATTCATTATTTCCCTCGTGTTCCCGCGCGCTCGGTTGAGATGTTGGGGCATGAAACATTTTGCGTTGCACGAGCTCAGTTGCTTGAGAATCGGTACACGGTGTTTATGGTCCTTTTTTAGCAATGGTTCCGAAAGATTTGGGTATTTGCCGTCAGTATTTTATATAACTTCAGATCGTGTACATTAAGTTAACGTTGTTGACCTGGTAAGACTGGAAAAAAAAGAAAAAGAAAAAGAAAAAGAAGAAGGCGAAGGAGAAGAGGAAGAATGAAAGGGTTTAATCTGGTTCAAGTGATTCCTCCAGCCTCTGGGACGATTGCAGAAAGTCACACATATCAGCTGGTCCGGCTGCCCCTCCGTAGCGGTCGGGATAAACGGATTAGCAAAGAAAGTCCCAGATGTGTAAACCGGACATGTTAACCTTGTCGAACAGCGATCGGAGAGGTTCGGGGAAATTTAGGAACAATAGCTTCATAGTCAGGAGCTTGTTGTTACAGCCAGGGGTCGTAAGCATATCGAGAAGCCCCGATTGTAGGTACAGTTCACGTTCTATTAACAGAGGCGGAGTTGAGAGCGAGGAGTCCGGGTTCCGAGGGAGTGTGGGGTTGGAGGGAAGGAGGAGGGAAGTGTCATTATGCTTCGTATGCGATTATTAAATTTGAAACACGCGAAAGATTAAGACCGAGGGAGAGGGAGGGGCAGCGACTGGAGACATCGCCTTGGATTAGGATTGGGAGAAGGGGG